CCCAATTTGGAGATTTATAACTTTTCAGAAAATTGCTTGCAGACGAATACTTTCAAATTAATGCCTTTTGAACTTCAGATAGGTGCCACTTTTGAGCTAATTTAAGTAAAATATGAGCAATTTTCAGCCTCTCGTCGCCATCTTGAAGACATAGTTTCGTAAAACTATAAAAAAATCGTATTAAAAATATATTTAAGCAAATAAAGTTGTTCAATCTCCATGTAAACGAGAGTATTAGTGTTAATCTTGCATGTGAACAGTAAGTGAAGGGGATAAACGCATCACAACGTTTTTAAAAAATCAGATGAATTCTTGTAAAATTCCCCTTCATTTCCGGTCTGAAAATATTCTCGCAAGGTCAAATTTTAACATGGCTATAACTCCTATAAAACAGAAAGTTGAAACGTTCTGAAAGAAGCTCGATTAATATTGACCAAAATCTAGTTCATATGCCAAATATGAGCTAAATCTATTTTTCCTTCCACAAACCAGTGAGTGGATTTTACTGAGAGGCCCTCTTAAGTTGTGGGTTGTTGAGGTGTTTTTAAGTGAACCAAACAGTCTTTCATTTTTTTTTCTTTGATCGAATCAATCAATTGCAACCAATCGGCAACAAAACTTTCGCAAATTTTTGAAAGTGTAGGAGTTAGTGATATAGGGCGTAAATCGGTACTTATATCAACAGGTACTGTTACTTTTGGGATTGGGATAACGTCAGCTTCTTTCCAGGATGTAGGAACGTTGGCTTGCTGCAGCGAAGCGTTAAAAATTGAGGATAGTGGTAAAGCTAAGACGTGGGCGTACTCCTTGAGCACCCAATTTGGTGTTTCGTTGGGGCCAGATGATTTTGAAGAGGATATAGTAATTAATTTTTTGTATATCTTTTCTTTACTGATAATATACTCAGGGAGGGTAAGAGATTGACTACTTTCGATCTGGGTCTCAGTGGGGGGTTGTTTCAAGGGGGCATTTCTTGAGTAGGGGGCATTTCTTCATTTCAAGTCGTTGATTTTATTACCTAGGACTCCCCGTTGATGATCTCGTCGTCACAAACTAGGGAGGAGAAAACATGTTTCTTTGTGTATCCTGCAAGTTGTTTAATGCATCCCCACCACTTTTTAGGGTTAGGGTTCGATTTCAGCTGGTCCATCATCTTTCGAAGGTATGCAGATCTAAGTTTTGCACATTGTCTATGTGAAAGGTTATGAAGATAGTGGTACTGTTCGATTTTCCCGTCATGGTAAGCTTTTTGCCTATTTAGAATAATCTTCTTAAACTCAGGTGTTACCCAGGGTTTGTCTTTATAATGTAACTGTTGTCACATTGAGCTAAAATGTTAATTCAGCAAGCATGGTTAGAAGCGATCGAATGGGATGACCCATTACCGAGATATCTCATAACACAATGGAGACAGTCGTTTTTATGAAGGTCGTGGAATTGAGCAGATTAAGATTCCTAGATGTTTGAAATTACCGGAAAATGTCTTAACAGCATTAACTTTGTATGCATTTCCAGATGCATCCGAGAAGGCGTACGCAGCTTCGGTTTACAGCCGGCACGAATCTCCTGATGGAAGAGTGACAGTAAGGCTTGTTGCATCGAAAACACGATTGGCATGCACCTCTCAAGGCAATCATCATTCGGCGATTGGAACTTATGGGAGCTATCATCGGATTAAGATTGTCAAGACAAATATGCTTAGCCATGAATGTATTGCCGAGCACAGTTACATTCTGGGTCGATAGTCTGAACGTCATCTGTTGGATTCAAGGACAGAATCGGACTTTTCTTCAGTCTCAGTATGTTAGTCACCGAAAAAAGGTCTTTAAAGTTTAGGTTTATCGGCTAAATCTTGTCCGCCATATTTGTTATTGTTATCGCAACGTGAGCAGTTTCGCGGGTGAGTTCGGCGAAAAGCAGGTCAGCTCGACGACAAGCTCACCTGCTCTAAACCAATCAGAAAGCCGCTTTTAACACAGGTATTGGATAATGGAGTTAGCTAGCGACGAACTGTGGTGGCATCGCCCGCAATTCCTATGCGATACGGAAGATAAATGGCCGGAACGAAGATCTTCGAATACACCAGATTCAAGTCAAGAGTTAAAAACACATGTACGCGCAAACAGACTTGAACAATGTATTTCCCGATCGGAAGAGTCGGTAGACGAATCCCAACTCAGAAGTCTTATGACTAACGAAGTGGACCTGGTGTGGCGACTCGAGCCAACAAGACACTCCAAACGGTATAGAATAAATCAACCAGGGAAGTGTGAAATAGGACTATCCATTGTGCGAATTTGGGTTAATCTGTTTATTCGGAATTGTAAAAGAACGCGCGAGAACAGGAAAACCGCGGAATGAACACCAATGGAGCTGATCATTAGCGAGGAACAAATAATCAAAGAGACACAAGAGAAAGCCTTTGCAAAAGAGATTGCTGCGTTGAAGAAAGGTAAACCGGTACCAAGGAGCAGCTCTTTATTAAAGTTAAATCCAATGCTCGAGAATGGAATGTTACGGTCGAATACGAGATTACGAAATGCGAGGGAACTTTCGAACGAAGTGAATATTCCAATAATATTACCAAAGAAAAACCGTGTAACGAGTCTTATTGTCAAGTATCACCATGAGACTGAGCATCATGAAATGGGCGTAAACTTTGCGATCAACCATCTAAGAGTACTTAGTCGTGCACGCACGTCAAGAAGTCAAACGTTGTGTGAGTAGTTGTGCCGAGTGTTCTCGACGTTTTAGATTACGGCCTAAGACGCAGCAAATGGCGCCATTGCCGGACATTCGTCTGGAAATGACTGGCAGGCCGTTCGAAAACTGTGCAACCGATTATGGAGGACCTTATTTTACAAAACAAGGACGGGGAAAGGTTAGAGCTAAACGATATCTGTGTCTTTTTGTATGTCTTCAGACTCACTGCTGTCATCTAGAAATGGATTCGTCACTGTCTTGACGTCAGTGGATTTATGAATGCATTTGTAAGGATGACCGCCAGACGTGGATGGTCAAAGAAGATGTTAAGTGACAACGGGACGAATTTTGTTGCCGCAGAAAAAGAAATACGTGCATTAGTCGAACAACTAGACCAGAAGCAAATAGAGAGAGCAACTGCGAATAAAGGCATTACATGGTATTGGAATATCGCCGAAATCGAAGGAACTGTGAATGCTTTAATATTCTAAACGGATCAAACTGGAAAGATGCGTGCAAAAATCTAAAATGTGTACTAAAATATATGTTGTTCTCTATAAGCGTTTCTTTATGCGTTGGCCATCGGAATATAATATATTATAGAGAGTAAATTATAAACATAACCGTACGTAATTATTAAGTTTGATAAATGTAATATTTTAACGAGTTTCACAATCCTATTTCGGCGATTTGTAATAGTAAACCGTGCTCCATGTGCTCCGTGTCCCGCGTATCCCGCGCGCTCTGCGTGCTGCGCGTGCTCCGTGCTCCTTACTCCGTGCTCCGTGCTCCGTGCCTCCGTGGTCCGTGCTCCTTTGTTTTACTAATAACCGCGTGTTTATGCTTCGCGATTCTTTTGCATCAACAATGATTCGAGAGAAAAAAAGAAAAAACTAAAAGCAAAGTCTACTATGAAATTTTACCTGAAAAAATGCATTAATAAAAAGCTTCGAGAGCTGCCTAAAAAGCTTTTTTCGTAAATTTTAAGCCAGTCTTGAAGAATAAATATATATTATTTTTTTATGGATTGACATCGCTCTTTGCATGCATGGAAAGACTGGTAGTAGCCTTCAACTTTGGTTTCATATTTTCGTGCGTTGGAGGTAGCGTTCATTTATATTCATTTCACTGTTATCAACATGGTATAGTTGACGTAATAGGAAGTTTGCGGTTAACTAAAAATAGTTGAGAACAATAAGTGACTGGGAGCTTTGAGAGCTGTGGGATTTGTTAACAAAGGACTTATGGAAAGTAAATAAACTTGGTCTCCAGATATTGTTGTGCAAAATATTTTAACACCAGTTACCAAGGGATATTGGCTCACAAATAATACGCTATTTCATTACAGTCTGCACTCAGTCACTAATTCGTGGAGATACTGTACGACTTCGAAGCGTATGTATCCGACAACAGCACTTATTATATACCCTCAACAAAATTTGTTAAAAACCGGAGCGGTCCTTGGTGATTAGTTTTCCAACAATTCTCTAGCAACAATACAAATTCAACACGAAGCAAACCATAAGGTGAGTACAAATTTTAGTTTGGACGTAAGCTTATGTCAAGTACTATTCATTAAATCTACTATAATAATGTGATCTACATTATATTATGATTGGAAAAACTCTCTTAGAATGCCAGATGGATAAAGAATATACTACATAACATTCTGTTATTAGTCATTGCTAGATTAACTACATCGCCTCGGTCGGCTAATTTATTTAGCTACATTTCGCCAGGTGGAAATAAAGCTATAAAGGGACTGGCATCCTAAATTTCTTGCTAGAACATCTCAACACTTTGCGCCTGTTTCAAGTCTCTGTTAAGAACCATTTCTCTTCGCAACACTCTGTTAGTTGACATGTAAATATTTATTTCTTCTAGACGTATTTCGACAAATAATTAATTTTTCATTGTGATTTTAGCCAATACTCAAGCAATTCACAACCTTTTAAAGCCTCTTAACTCGCAAAAAGGCAATTTTCGTTGGGATGAGTTAACCCTACTACTAGAAAATACATGCATGCAGAAACCCTCGCCTTGCTAACAAAACCGTTGTATTTTCCGAACATGAAGTATCTAAAGTAGTTGTTATGGTAACACGATAATTTTTTAAGAATATTCTTACAAATGAAAATCGCCTAAAAATATC